GGACCTGTGGATCACCAGCACAGCACAAATTATGCTGCTGGGGAAAAATGGCAGTCTTCCTTGGAAGCAGGAGCTAGAACAATCCCTCTGCTTTGCTCAGCATTAGTAAGATCACAGCTGGAGCACTCTGGCTGGCTATGGGTGCAGTTTTTCAAGAAAATGGGGGTTAGGAGAAGAGCAGCAGGAACAATTGGAAATCTGGAAAACAGGATTTGAGAGAAAAGGGCAAAAGAACTCAGAGTTGTTTAGAACACGAAAGACTAGGGAAAAGGGTGAGCACGTTAACAGTTTTTGAATATCTGCATGCCTGGAAAGAAGAAGGGAATAATCTCTTCTACATGGCCATGGTAGTAAAGGGAAGGAACGGCGGCTTAACCTGCAGCAAGGAGTGGATTCATCTGAGACATGAAGAAAATACATAAAGGTATGACAGCAAGGTCTGTAGTTTAGCACTGGGCAGGGAAGCTCAGGTATGCCTGTCACTGCTTTCAGAGTGAAGGGAGCATCCAGCTCTCAGGAGCTGTCTGAGCTCCCTGGGGCAGAGAAGGACACTAGATAACCTCAAATGGTCCTTTCCTAGAAGTCTCTGTTTGAATTTCATTTTAACGGGTCCATTTGATCTCCAGCCCCTGCGCTAGACTGCAGATGTAGGCCCAGCGGCCATATGATCACTAGCGTGACTCAGAGAAGCTCTGTGACAGGCAATTTATTTCCTTGGATCTCCCACCCGCGCCCCGCTGGAGGGTTTGCTCTTTGATAAAGGAGCTGTGCGTTGCAGAGTGTCCATTCCAATCTTGTCATGGGTAACACTGTGCCGTCTGCTTCTATAACCCTTCCTCAAAAACAGGCTGGTAGAATTACTAAAGATCTTCCATGCTGAAATATGTCAGCCTAAAGCAACATCTGACTGCCCGGTAAGAACGAATGTGGGATATTTAACTGGTTTAATATCGGCAAACAACCGGTAAAAATAACTACACCCAGATTTTGTTTGGTAGGTAGCTGAAACCAGTTCCCTATCTTATCTTCATTCCTCTCATCCAGCCAATTCTTCTTTGCATTTTTCTCTTTTGCTGTTACTGACTTTTTGAAGGTAGGCTATAGACAGTTAACCTGGGAGATCTAGGAGCAGCAGATCCAAGAGGTGGTATAAAGGATGCAGAACTACTTTCTGCTGTTTTGCAAAAAGGTTTTGTTACCCAGTGGCTAACAAAAAGTGGAGGTAATCTTGCCAGGCAATTGCAGTTGAAATAAATTCAGAGGAGAAAATATTCCTTCAGCAACAGTTTGTAGATCCCAGAGTCTGTTTGTAGTTATTCAATGCCTCCGTTTCACTTTCCTTTCAGAAATACAAGGAAACATCCTTAGCATTAAGCTGCAAGGGCAAAAAAAAAATCCTATTTATATTTGCCTCTTTTACAAGTCACCTGTTAGCCCCACAAAGAGAACTGCTCAGGATGAAAAATTTACTGATGGAAAGATTCAAAGTCTGTAACCTTTTAAACGTGATCTGCAGCCTCTCTCCGTTTGCTGGTATGTTAGGTATTGAGTTATGGTTCCTGAAGACTAATGGGACTGGTGCACCAAAAAGCCCCGTCTGTTTATGCCCTGTAGCATGGTTTCCTTAAATTCCATGCTGGTATAGTAACCAGAAAGCACATTTGTGTCCTTTTATTTGGGGGAATCTTGCCTGGATTAGAAGATCACATGTTCCAGCCCACATGATGCTCCATTTCAGCATCATGATTCTTGCAGAAAGCCCCAGGGGGTCATTCAGAACAGGCAAAGAAGGCCTGGAAAATATTTTTGTGAAAAATACGGTCAGGAACATATTTAATCTTATAGCCTCTCCAACTGCCATGCTCCCTGAGTAATGGTATCAGTTCAGGACTCGCAGAAGGGGGAAAGAGCTGCTTGTTGAAACTCCAGTGCTGCCTTGTACAACAGCAGACTGGTCCTGGGAGGTTTCCCACGCAGCTCCTAACCGAGCAAGGCTTTGCTTAGCGTGTGTGAGCTGATGGATTCACAGCTCAAATTGCTGGCTCTTTTTATCTCTCTGAGTGTGGTACAAATCCTTGTTATTAAAAATCAAGAACAGAAAATCCAATTCTAGATGTAATATCAGTCCAGGTCCAATTTCTAGTAGGTGAAATAAACTAACTTCAGACACCAATGGACAGTTGACTGCTGCACAGTAACACAACACAATTTAGTACAATTTTCCACAGTTGACATATGTTGATCAATATAGGACTCAGAATTTAACAGGCATAGAATTTCAATTAAACTGAATTACAGAAGAGTATAGTCATCACCGTGCTAGGAAAGAGGTGTTTTAGCAAATGAAAGAGACAACCCCACTTTCTGCATGCTGTGCTGCAGCTGGTCTGTGAATTAAAAAGTGGGCTTTAGCTTTTAAATTTTCATCAACACTTAATTCTTAACCAAACCGTATCATAAGGGTAAATTTGTTTTTTTCTTTTCTTTTTCTTTCTCACCTTTTCTTCTACTATTGGGGCTTTGAAAAAGGTAAGGACTGATTGTCTCTAAACTGACAGGCACTTTGTTCCGAGACGGGGCATGAAGTAAGATAAGCAAACCCAAGCCCGAGTGAGTCGATTCCATTTTGCTAACATTGGTCGACAGTTGTGGTATGCTCCGCTAAGCCAATGAGGGCACAGCCGCACGCACAGGGTGTGTTACTGTTCTTGGGGATGTGCATTTCAAGCTTGATGCTTGCTGTAATGCACAAATTTGAGTGTGCACACTTCAAATGCGCACACTCACTTCAAACCTACTCTCTGTTGCTCTTCCCCCTTGGTGCAGACACTGGTGACCTGAGTTCAAAAGACCTCAGTTCGTAGTCTTGTTTATCCCAGTGTCCACTAACTGCCTCATGAAACAAGTGCAAGCATTGATGGACAGAACATAACTATTGTGAAGAATATAAACAACATTAAGTGACAAAAAACAGCTACAAGGAATCAGCTCATTTTAGTCTGATAGAGGAATGGATTTTGTCTGAGGTTAAGACACAGGAGTAGAGCAAGGCAGTCATGGGTGAGGAAATTCTTAGGTCAGGAAATCTGCATCATTAACACTGTCTTCCAGCTGTGGCACAAGTGTTTGTTACATGCTTTGTCCCAAGTTGAATAGGAATGTAGAATAGCAAGACAAACTGCCTTTTAACATGCAGCTGGGCTGTTTCAAAAGGATCTCTCCCAGATACCAGGAGGCAGGTCTAGGTATCCCTGGAGAAGCAGGTTTTTGGCTGCCTCCAGCTTGTTTTGCTCTGAAGAGCTGTTGAGTGCAGGCCGTCTTTTTCAGAGCAAAATGCTCTAAAATGCAATCGATGTAAGACAGTTTCTGTGTTTCTGGGCTCTTCTCTGGAATGTCCAT